GTCTGCTGCGCTTTAGCGGGCTGAACAGCGGGGGTGGCAGGTGCTGGTTTCGCAGGCTGCTGAGTCGGCGCAGATTTTGGGCGAGCTGAGGCAGCAGTGGAGCTGGAGCGCTTAGGCAGGAAATGTTGCATAGCCTGGGACGATTTCTGTGCCTCCGTGAAGCGTTCAGCGAATCCTTCGACCGCCGGGCCGAAAAGGCCTTTGGGGGAGACAGGAGCATCGAGGAAGGGGATCTTATCCGCGTGCTTCATCTCCGTCAGCGTCAACCATAAATGGCGCTCGAGCACCACAAGGCTGGCCATCGATCTCCCAATCGCCTGGGCGGTGGTCTTGGTGGCACGTAGAGCCAGGTCCGTCGTGCTCCTCAGATCGCTGAGGGTAGTGGGGTCCAGGCCAGACTCGGAGGATGCGAGGATTTTGGCCTGGAAGACCTGGAGGACCGCCATAGAATGAAGCGCCAAAGCTGCCTGTCTAGCTGAGGTGTAGGCGCGTCCAGCGAGAGCTGAAGTGGTCCTACACGGCTTAGACGGGTGAGCGGCCTTCGCTCTCCAGCCGATGGCCGTGGGGAACCGGACCGGAACTGCTGCGTCGCTGGAGCGGCGGAGAAGCAGGTCAGCCGAGCTGAGACGTCCCGATTCCAGCTGCGAAGGCGTGTCAAACGGCGAGCGGCTTCGGATCAGCTTGAGACGTAGAGTCGTCGCTGAAGGAGAAAAATCTGAGAATCCTGTGGCGAGCGCCCGCTTATATAGCCAGATGCCATGCCCATTCTGCCAAGCTCCGCTGCCGAGCCATTGCTTCGTTTTTTAAGCTCTGCACGAACCAATGGCCGTGCAGTTTCACTGCGTGAATGAAAAAAGGCTTCAGTTCAGGAGAAAAAAAGGCTTTTTCCCATATGCGTATTAAGCAAGACGCAGTACGAGTGAAGTATCGAAAGGGAACAGACAAAGAACAGAACTGAACAGGGGAATATAAATACCTAAGATAATGAGGGTTAAAACAAGGCACAGGTGGATCACAATCTTGATCAAAAGTGACAGTAATGACATTTAAAATGTTACAGAAGATTTCTACTTCAAATAAATGCAGTTCTTTTGAACTTTCTATTCATCAAAAAATCCTGGGGGGGAAAAATCATAACGGTTTTCCACAAACATATCAAGCAGCAAAAACGGTTTTATACATTTGTAATCATCAGAACCTTTATTAATAATTGATCATTATTAATAATGATGATGCTGTCAAGTTGCTTCTCTTCTCTTCTTTTGTTGAACATTTTTTGGTTGTTGTTTGGATTTGCATAGAATGTGTACCTTCTTTTATCAGATCTAACTGTGCAGAGAATATCCGAAAACACATCCTGCACACAGGCAAGCATGAGGGGGTGAAGATGTATAACTGTCCCAAGTGCAGCTACGCCACCAATGCCCCAATGGACTTCAGAAATCATCTCAAAGAGACTCACCCTGACATTGAGAACCCAGACCTGGCTTACTTACATGCAGGTACCACGTCTTGTCTTGCACCTTCCCTATCTTGTTCTTAATAAAATAAAAGGAGAGATTAAGCTATCTGATCAAACCCTGAGCCTTCTCTTTCACGCTGAAATGCATGAGTTCCCATCAGTGTCCCATAGATAGCAAGGTTATTATAGTTAACTGGACTTAAACTAAAACTAAAATGAAATTCCAAAAAATAACCTAGAAAAATGAAATAAATCTAAAAGTAAATTTTCCAAAAAAGGAAAATTAACTGAAATAATCATGCCTTGCTTTATAACTAAAACAAAACAGAAATTATCCTCAAATATTTTCAGTTTTCATATTTAATACTTTGGTCTACAGTTAATATAAACTGTGTGTTTTTGACATAACTTTGTGTTTATTTGACAAATGAAAAAAGTGTTAATTTGCATTTAAAGAGATTTAAACAGTATGTTTTTGCTTCCACTCAAAAAAGAGCATTTACAGTGTGGAATAATTAATTATCTGTGGGTATTTTAAGTATTGTGAGCTGAAACTTCACAGACACATTCTGGGGGCACGTGAGACTTCTTGTACATCTTGTAAAAAGAGGCATAATAGGACCCCTTTAAAGGTGGGGTAAGCGATTTCTGGTAGCCAATGTTGACATTTGAAATCACCAAAACAAACACGCCCCTACCCCAAAAGGGTCTCGCCCCTATTTTGATAGCTCCGCCCCACACGTACGTAAACAACCCAGGCAACGATTAGTTCTGTGAAACAAAGCAAAACCAATGTTACACTGTGTCTACACCGGACGCGAGTGGCGCGGTGCGACAAAATACTATAGAACTCATTATAATCAGTGATGCTGTCTACACCATAGATATACAGTATATACATATCTATGGTCTACACTGGATGCGGCGCGGCACGACACGACAAATCCCCGACAGAAAACTGCTGCTGCGTTCTGTTTATGACGTATTGACACAAATTCCAAATGATTTTCAACGGTCGCTTTGTCGACAGACTTTAGCTGTTGCGGCGCAGACACTGTGAAAAATCGCTTACCCCACCTTTAATGATGACAATGAAAAGGTCAAAGAAAACGTCATGATAATTGCTAATATTGGCTGTATCTGGATCCTGTTGTGCCTTTTTTCAGTATTAACTGACAGATCAGTCTCTTATAAAATGGTCATATTGAGCTACAAAATAGAGGTCTGCATTCCCATAGGAATGATGTGTGCGCTGGAAACAGGAGAAAGAAATGACTTGTGGGACTAGTAATAAAATAAATGTTACTCAAATTGACTTTGTTTTAAGGTACAGGATGTTATTTGTCTATTGTGCAGCAAACATAAATGGTTTACTGGCAGACTTGAACTAGAAATGTCTTTCTACTCTCTCCCATGTTTGTGGCAGGAATCGTGTCCAAGTCCTTCGAGTGTCGTCTGAAGGGACAGGGGGCAACCTTTGTCCAGGCAGACACCACTTTCACCCCTGATGAGAGTGAACTGGGTTCTGAGGCTGTTCAGCAGGTCATCATCATTCAGGGCTACGGCGGGGGAGAGGTGGCCATCGATCAGGCCCTGGAGGAGTCGGCTGCTGCCACCTTACAGACCCTCGCTATGTCTAGTCAGCTGGCCGAAGTGCTGCACATCACTGAGGATGGGCAGCTCATCACATCTGGTCGGGAAGTGTCTACAGTGACAGGAGGACAGACCACTCAGTACGTGCTGGTGGAGTCTTCCGGAGAGACCGTAGGAGAAGCAAGACAGGAAGGGGAGGAGGCTGTGCACAGTGTGTCCGAGTCTTCCTCTGCTCTGGATGCTTTGCTTTGTGCCGTGACAGAGTTGGGCCAACAAGGCTGCACTAGAGTGGGAGAGATTACCACCACCACAGTGTCAGAGCATGTGCCAGAAGAGAAGTGTGAAGGTCAGACCTCTCAGACACAGAGACAAAGTGAAGGACAGGTATATGAGGAGACGGCAGAAGTGGGAGTGGTGGCTCAGGTAATGAGCTCTAACCATGAGCACACATCTGAGGAAATGCAAGAGGTGCTACAGTTTGCTGCCAGTCAGCTGATGATGAAGGAGGGTCTTACTCAAGTTATCGTCAATGACGAGGGGACACATTACATAGTCACACAGCTGGATGACTCTACTCTGCATGTTGAGGGCACTGTAGAGGATCCATCCGGACAGGAGACGATAGTTTACTCCGAAATTAGTCCTGAATGAGGTGGAGATGAGAGATTGGGAGTAGATTTTCTTGAATTTGAAATAGTTTTTCTTGTCTAAGAGAGTGAACTCAGGTCAAAGTGTAACATATGTCAAAAGCAAGCTTTTTGGGATGGATTGCTTTGGTTGCTTTGGTTTTTTGATTGCTAATTCCATATACAACAGCACTTGTGAAATGAACTCTTTATATGTAAAAATGCTTTATATCCTTTTACTAAAGACTAACAACCAAAAGCATAAAATATTTTTTTTGCAGTTAAATGTATGTAAATGTTAAGATTACTAATGAAAACCTTGTTAAGCATTCACTTTCTGTTTCATATTCCTTTATGTATGTATTTTAGTTTTGAAATTCAAATATTTGAAATAGTTTAGGATTCAGGATTGAGGACTTAACAAAACTCCAGACAACATGATCGGTAAAGTAAAGAACATGTATAAAACTCCATTAACTCTCATAAACTGCTTAAATGAAAAATGTATATTTATAACCTGCTTGTGATTGTTTTTTGTTTTGTTTTTAATTATTATTATTACTATTATTATTATTATTATTCAAAATGTGAACTTCTGAATATATTTTCCAGTAAATTTGCCATTTAAAAGTTTAGTTTTGAGAGTTTGACTTGCTTAAGTCCTGTAAATAAAGAACTGACCAGTTTGTTGGCACATTTGTTTGTTTCAGGTACATTTTAGGTATGTTAAAAAAGATTGGGTACTCATAATAAAACATCTTGCAAGCTTTAAACACACATGTGATTAATGTGACAAAGCTGCAACTCACAATACTGAGAAAAGGGAGAGAAAACAGTCTATGTATTTATTAACATACAGAAGTGTAGTATATGTTTTGTGTCATGCAGGCCTGGGGTAAGGCTATGCCTGTAAATCAGAGCGCTTATCTGGGTAATCGTCTGGGTGAACATTGTTGTCAGGAAGCCTAAACAGTTTAATATGTAGAAAGTAGAAGTAGGTCTGGGAAAATTAGGGCCTGTTTAAGAAGATTAAGAAATATTTAAGAACGTGTAAATATTTTATGCTGTTGGTATTTTAGTTTATTCATATTATGTTATAATAAATTAAATAATAATCACAATATTTCTGTACAATTCTGGAATATTCTTAACACCTATTGGTATAAGCATTTTTATTTAATTGTGCTCCTATTTGCTTATGGAATAATTTGTTATTAATGGTCATCATGTGTAATGTGGATGTGATTTGCCTTATGGTCTCACTCTTTCCTAAAAATGAACATTATATTGAAAAATCACCATTTAAGAAATAATAAATATTGGTAACAACAAATAAATGTAGCAAACAGTGTCGGTATCGTATCATATGTAAAGCAGGTGATTTAATGCATAAAATGTAATTAAAATCTATTTAATCAAATATAGCCCGTTTGTCCAGTACATTCAATTTATTTGTTGTTCATAAAATGCAGATATATTGTACGTTTTAATTGTTATTGTAAATGTAATGAATTGTACATTTTAATGTCATTCTTGTCCGATACTGAAAACAAACGCCAACAGTCCTTATTTCAGATAGTTAAGTATCAATAGATGTCCGGTAGATGTCGCATCCTCCAATCTGCCTCCAATCTGAAATGGCGCTGCTGCCTACGCCGCCTCGGCTCGCTGAAGTCGTCGCCATTTTGAAATCCAAATCGCTCACACTACACCCGCTCTATAAACTGGAACTATGCCGCGGGGCCGGCCGCGAAAACAAAGGATTAAAGATGACGGCGAAATCGGTAAAGTCAACTGCAGTCTCACAAATAAAAACTTCACATCAATGACTATTTGCTTACGTGCAAAGTGCATGACGAAAATGCAACAGAAGGTTAGAAAACCATTTGAAACGTGTGTGTATATAGTCCCCGGATATAGTATTGCGGGTGTGTGCGCGCGCGTGTGTATCTTTAGCGTTTTTGTGCTGCTGCTGGAGTGATTGCGGCGGAATGATATTAATAACACGGTCGTGTGCTGGAGAATGCGTCGCTTGAGCGGTTGTAGTAGACTTAAGATTCTACTCGCCTGCACTATCTGAACTGATACGTTTAATTAAAATGCATGTTGGGCTGCTTGGCATCGTTGCTAATGTTAGCTAATGCTTCCGTACATCTGTAAGGAGGGGGTAGAACTTGTCTGGCAGTTATGTAAAATGTGTTTGTAGCATATTTTTTGGGATTTTATGTAGCGATACAGTGATGATACTATATGGTATTTACACAATGTGTTAAATCGGTCTGGTAATCGCTAATGTTTAGTTGGTCTTCAGGTTTTGCTAACGTTAGCTGTCAAACAACCAAAACGTCTCTAAAAAGAGTAAGACCAGTGGAATCCATCTCGACTCGGTGGTCGGCCAAAACGACCAAAACTGGTTTAATTGTTTCTTTTTGTTGTGAATTCACGGTGGTACCATGGTACTTTTATGTTAGTCTGTTACTTTAACCAGTTTAGGCAACAGCCCAGCCGTCATTGTTAAAAGCTGCTAAGTTTTACATGATTTTCTCAGCCTGGCTCGAAAGTGGAAAGTTTACAAAACATTTCATAAGATGAATAGAAAAGTTACAAAATATATATCAAAGCTGGAGAAGCTCTGTTGACATTTATTTAAAAAAAACACAAAAAAAAACATGCTGAGGCATATTTGATCTCTGGATTCAACTAATTAACTCAGAATTAGCAAAGTAGAATGTGCAAACATACATTAATGCGTGAAGGCAGCTTGCAGAGCTAAAATTGTCAAACTTTTTGAACAGGATGATTGGGGTAAATTGTGCTTGTTTTATCTTCTGGGAAACAAGTGTCTTATGTAGCTTCTGAAGGGCATTCATAAATAAATAACTGATATCTTAGATAAGAGAAACGTGTTAGGGATGAGTATTTTTATCTGTTTTCCCATAGCTGAAATGAACATCTACAAGGAATAAAATAGTTTCAAACCCATAAATATAACTTAAAAAAAAAAAAAAAAACATGCTGAGGCATGTTTGATCTCTGGATTCAACTAATTAACTCAGAATTAGCAAAGAAGTAGAATGTGCAAACATACATTAATGCGTGAAGGCAGCTTGCAGAGCTAAAATTGTCAAACTTTTTGAACAGGATGATTGGGGTAAATTGTGCTTGTTTTATCTTCTGGGAAACAAGTGTCTTATGTAGCTTCTGAAGGGCATTCATAAATAACTGATATCTTAAATAAGAGAAACGTGTTAGGGATGAGTATTTTTATCTGTTTTCCCATAGCTGAAATGAACATCTACAAGGAATAAAATAGTTTCTAATAATCCAGTCATTTTCTGTAATGTCAGACATTGCTGTTTGAGCTGAAGATGAAAAGTGAATGAACATTTGGTAAACTGAAGGCCTTTGCTAGCAGTTTGATTAACTCAACAAATGCATCGTATATTAGATTAAGCAGATACACACAACATAATTGAACTATTACAACTTTGATTGTGCTAGTCAGAATGTGTAAGGGTGCTTTCACACTTGGTTTAATTGCTTGGTCTAAACCAGAGTTCGATTGCTCCCCTACCCCTGTCTGCACTGGATTGTGTTCACACTTTGTTTTTTAATTCCAAACCACAGTATTTTTGCATCATAAAAGCTACATCTGTTTACCCCTGTTGCTAGGTATCGGTGATGCAGGAGAAAGTGGCAAAATGCATAAGCATTCCTGGCCTCACATTTATTTACATTTGTTTTTGAACGTTTGGCTTTGTTTCCAAAGCATCAACGCATAATGACACTTGTGTCTGTCTGCTGTGAATGTACAGCAAATGTTCTGAAGAATGCGGGAGTCCATTTCTGCTAAAGGCTTGCTGAAATGAGATTCTAGGGCTGCGCGACATTGATCAAAATTCATATCTTGGTATTTTTGGGTTGAATGGCAGTATACAATATATCTGTATTTTCTACAAAGTGGACTAAATATTTAGTTGCAAGTCAAAGCCACAGGAAATGTCACTATCATTTTAATTAAGACAGTATATGATCGAAATAAAATGCAAAGAGGTTTTCCTCCCTGTTTAAAAATATACAGCACAATATATAAACGTAAAAAAACTATATTAAAACTAGATCTCTGGCAATGTGCAACAATAATAACGGACATAATAAATAGAGTACAATTTCAGCTTTTTTCCTCCTGCATAACGAAATAAATGTGTTTCTGATGTGGAAATTACGGTGGCCGTGAAGTGCAAAGATTTGTCGTTGTGTTTTCTGACTTGTTATAATGTTTTCTGAATTGTTGTTGTGCTTTCTGAATTGTTATTTTGTTTTTTAGACTTGCATTTGCATTTGTAATTTGTTATTTTGTTTTCAGAATTGTGATTTGCTTTGCACTTCTCGGCCACCGTAGGAAATAACAATAATGTAAACAGAACAGTAGAAAACGTAAGAATTTTGCCAGAGGAAGTAGGTTATTTTTGCGGTAGACAGTTGTTCACTGAACAAAGTGTTTTCACCTATGTAGCCCTGTATATCTCTTACAGGTTTTGTGCAAGAAAAACACTTCTTTGACAGTGGGTCAGTGCTGTAAAGATAATTTCATTGAGGAACTGTGTCACTCTCTACAGTAACTGACTGCGAGTAGTTCAATTTCAGTTGCCTCTCTCTGTGTCAATGCAGTTGCTGGTTGTGGTTGCTGAGCTCTGCTTGAAGAAGCTTGCCAGTTATGACTACTACTTAGCTGTTGGTGGCATTATTGCTACTTAGTCTGCATGCAAAGGCACAGTAGGCACAGCTGGGTTAGTTTAACAGCGGCCTGATCAGCTAGCAGATATTCCGCTTCTAAGACAGCTTGGTTTTTCACTGCATTGATCTTTTCACTTGGGATGTATTAGTTTCTGAACTGTGGATCCACAAGTGAGGCCATGTCTGACAGGTCACTAATGGCAAGTATGCTGACCCTGCCACTAAAGTAATCAACAATGCAGATCTTGATGGATTTGACATGAGATGGTAACTCTTCTCACCTGACAGAGCATCTGTGAAGTCCTGAAGGGGTTTTAGAGGCATCTGGATTGCCTCCAGGACCTCTATGTCTTGCTAAGTAGGAACAAGATATCTAGACTTTTTGCCAGCAGACATGACTTTTCGACTGCTCCCTCCTGCTCCAGGAAGTGCTCAATCATTTGCTGCTGTGATCGCCAGTGCATGGCTGACTCAGTGATGAGCTGGTGAGCCGGCAAACCCAGCTGAATCTGGACTTCAGCCAACTGTCTTCTTCCAGCTATAGGTGAAGCTGCTGACAACTTTCTTATAGAGAGAAATGCCCCAGGTGATGCTCTGTCAGAATCAGAATCAGTTTCATTAGCCAGTGTTCTTATGCATTAAAGCAGCACTATGTAACTTTTGGCGCTCTAGCGGTTAATAAACAGAACTGCACACATCCCGCGGAAGAACATTCCAACCGGAGCTACTTCTCTAAGTTTATGTCTATGGCGATTCACGCAGGTATGTGTTACTCCGCAGCGGTGACGACCCGACCAGGCTACAATAGTCCAAATATAAGTACTTATTATAAGTGTACCGTAGTGATTCGGAATAAGACAAAAACGCGGTTTGGAAGATGAATTCATGATGTACTCGCTCATTATATACATTTTGCAAATTTTGAACACAGAAAAAGTTACATAGTGCTGCTTTAAAGGATTTTGACTGGTTTATAGTAGCTTCTAGTATTACATCACATTTAAAAAACAAAAAAGAAAGGCAACAAAAAAAGAAAAACAAAAGACATAAATTGGAAACCCATTTTCAAAAAAGTTGGGACATTTTGGCAGAGGTGTAAAGTATGTGAGTAAATGTAATTAATTACTGTACTTGAGTATCTTTTTGGATACTCTGTAGTTTTACGGAGTATCAAAATGAGCAACTTTTACTCTCTACTTCACAACATTTTTGAATAAGTATCTGTACTCTTTACTCCACTACATTTGTAATGAGTGTTGCAATTGCACATCACACATGGCACCTAGCTTTTTCTGCAGCAGTTTCAACACCATCATCCCGGACACCCTTCAGAATAAACTCACCCAGCTCTCCGTGCCCACCTTCATCTGTCAATGGATCACCAGCTTTCTGACAGACATATTTATTAAGTTTTTACTATTTAAATGTTTGTTTGTTTTTGTTTTTTAGCTTTTTAGTTTTTTTTTCTGTTCTCATGTCAGATATGTATGTATGTATGTACCAGGAGCACCTTAAAAAAACCACAACAAATTCCTTGTGTGTTTGCACACACCTGGCGAATAAATCTAATTCTGATTCTGATTCTGATTCTTTCTGCTACAAAATAAGTGATATCTGGCATTAAAGGTACTATATCTTAGGTGTTTTGCCCTTACTCATCCAAACTTTAAACAAGGCTACTTTACGTGAATGTGAGTTCCTTAGCAAGTATTTGTGAATCACAGGTGTTACATATATAAGAAGAGGACGTTAATGCAGCTGGCAATGAGGCCTAAACCAGCACATCCAGTGCAAGAAGGCTTTGACTTTTTAATTTTACTCAACATTGTTTTATTTATCTGTCATAGAGAAGAGACCTTTTTGAATGATATTGTGTTTCACACCTATTGGTATAAGCATTTGGTATAAGCAAAAGAAATATATATATATATATATATATATATATATATATATATATTGCAATTTTGAGGTGTTCAGTTTTAATTTAGTTTTAGAAGTGTGATCGCTTTCCTCACAAATCAACTCTTTCTTGTTTTTGCAGTTGAGTGTGTTCCCATAGCCTGTTCAATTAAGTAAAAGAATTTGAGTTACCTGATTTATTTTGAAATTGTATGGGTTTGTTCTGTAACAGCGTGCGGTATTATATAATATATAATATACTATTGTACTATAATATACTAATATACAATTGATGGCAGTAGACATGTCTATGGGATCAGCCTCCTTGACCAAACATATAGCTCAAGTCTAATTATTATTATTGCCTCGCTATGGCGAACATGTTCAAAATATCTGTAATGTCTTCACGTGATGTTTAACAAGTTCGGTGACAGTCATATTAAACCTTACGAGGAGTATTTAAAACTTCACCGCATATTTCGCCAAGTCCAAAGTGGCCAACTTTCTGTTGGGCAGCACTAATGACTGTCAGAGCAATTTTCTTTTGCTGAGAACAGTATATGTACTAACTTTTGTACATAAACTCCCATGTGCCACCTTTGCCTTGACCTAATGGCCTACGAGTTTTTAAAAGACTCCAAGGCCCTCAAAACTTTGGAAAAAAAAAAAACCGTAGGAGAACAATAGAGCTCTGCCCATAGTGAACTTGACTATGCTATTCAGAATGTGTAACTCCTTTGCCGATGTGTTTGTACTGTAACAACACAAACTAAAACAAAGAATTCACAACTGTCTTTACAATAGTGTTTTATGTTGTATTGTCTCTGCACATCTTACACTTAACTGTATTTGCATTATTAAAGTCATTCCACTGTGTGAGTGTGAATGGCATACTTTCCTAACACTGAGCAATCAGACCTCAAGGTACCACCAAAAATTAGGGATAGAACAATTACCGGTTTGGCGATAAATCATGATAAAATTCCCCACGGTAGTTTTACCGTTTCATATTTTAATTATCATTAAAACCATATTCGATTACCGTGATTTGAACAACTGAGGATAAATAAATACTGCCCAGCATAAAGCAAAGTTTTAAGTAACAGTGTCACGTGTGCACAGCACGCAGAGTAGTTTCGTTTTGTGTGAAAACAGAGATGGCCTTCACTGCAAAACACAAGATCCAGGGGGCTTGGTTGGATCCGGATCCAGATCCAACTCCTCCCACCTTACTTATACCTAAACCTACCCATCTTCAGATTTGATGGTATTTTGTTTTCATCTTCACTCCATGTAATACCTAATAAAGAAGTGTTCTTATCGTAATGATGCTTTGTCCACGGAGGTTACAGGAAACGGCTCTAATTCTGCTGTTCCAACAGCACCACCTGCTGTCAGAGAGTGGATTTACAGAGAGTTACATTTACTGTACATTCAGCCTTGACTGGTTGATGACAGGCTTATGTGGATTCTATTTTGACTAGACTTGTGCCGGTATTCGGTAATGCGATATATCACGGTAATGAATATGCACGATATTGTTATCGTGGGCACTTCTAAATACCGTGAATAATTATATATTACAAATTATTCCGAATTTTGAATGCATTTTAAGAATACTTTTCCCATAAACTGGTCAAAATGCACAACACCGCTGTATGCTGCGTGAAAGACGCATGCGCGGACTTGAAGCACATGGCGGAACATGTGAGAGACGCTCTGGATGAAAGCGCACTTTCACTCTCTGACTGCAGAAATAATAATAATAATAATAATAATAATAATAATAATAATAATAATAATAATAATAATAATAATTATAATAATTCATTTAAATGCAGCCTTTACCCCGGAAACCCTGTAAACAAAGCCGCTGCACTACTTCCTGTTTCTGAATCATGTTTAAATTATTTAAATAGCCATTCAGATTTGTGTATTTGCTATGATGTTCATCACAGCGCCAAATACTTAAATATTTAGACTTTATAGGCTATTTATTTTCAAACTTTTTTTTACATTTTAATCTGGACTACAACATGCCCTAGATATTGTTTGAAAGTGTTTTTATTCTTTATTGTTCGGTCACACTTTACATTAGGGCTTCATTAGTTAACATTAGTTAATTCATTGGTTAACATAAACTGCCAATGAAAAATTCTTCTGAACATTCATTAATCTTAGGTATTCCAATATTTAATAACAGGATGTTAAAATTGAGAGTTGCAGCTGTGTTGTTTAATGAGCTAACATGAACTAAGACTTGTATTTTTTAAACAGAGATTAATAACTTCTGTAGCAAATGTAGCTATTGCTCATTGTGAATGTTAATGCATTAACTAAGGTTAACTAATGAGGTCTTATTGTAAAGTGATACCTATTGGTCTTTATAGTTCTTTTGCACTTTAATCTGTGTAAAACTTTTAACTTTATACATTTTTCTGTATTGCTTTATTGCATTTAAATATTCAGTTATTTTTGTTATAAGAAAAAAGTTATTAAACCTGTTATACTGTATTATGACAGCACTTTTTTTTTTAAACTTAATTTAAATATCGTGATAATACCGTATACCGTGATAAAAGCATTAGCAATTAATCGCAACATGAAAATTTGATACCGGCATATCCCTAATTTTGACTTAACCCTTTTCTTTATTTAAAGGCTGAATTGTGAAGTTTACCATTTTATGAAACTTTTCAAAGCTTTAATTGAACATTTCGTACATGCTAGTGTTTCCCACACATAGACTTTACTTGGCGGGTCACCCAGGTATATTAACGGCCGCCCAAGTATATTTGGTAAAACAATAATAATATGTTAATGTAAATGTTCTTTGCTGGCTTTCGGTTGCCTATATAATTTAATCGCTGTTTGAATAATTGGAAATTAAACAAAATAATGAAGTAATTAGTAAATTAGTAACTTTTTATTAACTTTTTACTAACTGTTTTATTTTATGACATGACACCCATATCTGGTACTTTCCTAAAAAGACGTGTTTATGATGTGCGTAGTTCATAGATTAAGTTAGACTAGGCTACTTTTTTTAGCCTTAACCTGGAGTTGGTTTACCGCCTATATATGTTGAATCATGTGAACACAGAGATGAAGTGGACAACCATCTGCAAACTGAAACAAAAGACTACATTTTGAAAGTAAAATTTTTTTCAAATCAGTTGAATCCCGAGAATAAGCTGACATTCATTGCCCATTGGTTGTGCAGGGGCAGGATTTCTGATCTTAACTAGGCTATTTGATATTCTGTGTCTTAACTCAGATTTAGAACTTATATTTTATTCATTCAGCAGACTTGGTCACAAACGAGTAACATCACAAGCAATTTATCATAAACTGATGCAAAACTGATGATCTATTATATCATTAGGCTATTTTAATTGTGATCTACATTGTCTGACCTCTTTTCTGAAATCTGTTTTAGATGATTAAAAAATCTCTGGTCTAGGGCACAAAAGGATTGTTAGTAACACATTACAAGTTAATCAGGAGTTGGGAAGGGAAAGCCAAAACTTTGTCGCCTGTTACTCCAATACAATGATTTTTTTTTATTTTCAGCCTGGAATAATGAACAATGGTTTCACACTGTGGAGAAAAGTAGCTATAACCACTGTAAATAATCTGTTTGAAAAGGAGAAGGTGTTATCTACGGAACAGTTGAGGGCTAAATTTAAATTACCCCAAAATAATAATTCTTCAAGTATTTACAAATTAGGAGCTTTGTGCAAAATCAGTTTCTTATTGCCTCACTTCAACAGAACAGGTTCTCCTGGATAATAGATCTAAAAGATCACTAATAATATTGGTCATTGTTCTATTTGTTCTATTGTTTTGTCACGTTAAAATAAAGCATTAAAAGTAAAATAAATAAAAAAGTGTAATTTTCACTGTTAAAGCATTCGCCTGTTCAGAGATCACAGCCTGACTCATGTGATACAGTCATAAATAGTGGGAAATGATAGTCGTTCCTGTTAGTTTTTAGATCTTATATGCATTAAATCTACACAACAGAACTGATACATGGAAAGAATTCGTTGTTATCTTACTTTTATCTCTGACAATATCATTCACTGTTTTTTTTTGTTTTTTTTTTGCAGATGGAGGTCATGAAGCAAGTTCAGAAAGCCAGAAGCATACGGAAAACAAATGTAATATTTGCTCCCAGAATTTTCCCAGTGACAGTCAACTTCAGAGACACCTACGAGACCATGATGTCAATGATAAGGCAAGAGACACAATATCAACTCGCATAAGACCTGATCTGTATTGATAGATGAATTTCATATGAAATGTGACCCAGGACCACAAAACCAGTCATAAGGGTCATTTATACATAATCTGAAAGCTGAATAAATAAGCTTTCCATTGAAAATCTGGAATCTGAGGGTGCAAAAAAATCTAAATACTGAGAAAATCGCCTTTAAAGTTGTCCAAATGAAGTTCTTAGCAATGCATATTACTAATCAAAAATTAAGTTTTGATATATTTACGGTAAGACATTTACAAAATATCTTCATGGTACATGATCTTTACTTAATATCCTAATGATTTTTGGCATAAAAGAAAAATCGATAATTTTGACCCATACAATGTTTTTTTGGCTATTGCTAAAAATATACCCATGCGACTTAAGACTGGTTTTGTGCTCCAGGGTCACAAATATCATTTAACACATGCTTCATATTAAGATGTAATGTATAAATTATAATAGACTTGCATGAAATACTCATAGCCAACTAATAATCATGTGAATAATCAGTAAGATCAGTAGTTACAAGCATGCTGTGAACAATTAAAAATGTAAATCTTTGTTGCTAAAAGCCTACTGCACTTACTGTGAACAGTGCATCAGTGCATGTTATTCTTACTGTATATACACTTGCTCCATCTCTGAAACAGTTTTACTGTTCAGCTGACCTCTATAGGCCATGCTATATCCAAACATGCTTCAACCCCTTTCCTCTAGCCACCACCATTAGTTCAGCCCTACGTTTTTTTCCTTCTGAAATATCCTGTTTCATTTGGGAATATTACTGTACTGTTTCACAGTGAAAACATTTACATGCACATCAGAAAGACAGCTGATTATGTTTACATAAACATACATTTTACATAGTACAAATGACTCACTTTTCAGCCTTATAAACATGCTTCTCAGTGAGCAAGCACCTTTCTCCTCACATAGACTGTTACTTTAATTATTAGTTTTTTCCTGTTTTGGTAGTAATGGTATATGTGCTTGTCAGGAACTGCTGATAACATAACTGTTCCTTACTTCTTCCTGGATGCAGCCATATCGGTGTGACCAGTGTCCTATGTCCTTTAATGTGGAATACAATCTTGACCTTCATAAATCCACTCACACCACCAGTGATCCCAAATGCCCAGTATGCAATAAGAAGTTCTCAAGAGTGGCCAGTCTGAAGGCTCATGTCATGATACACGAAAAAGAAGAGGTCAGACAACTTTCTTTAAATCCACTGGACATTTATTCTTTATGAGTAATTGAATCTTTGGTATATTTATCACAACTTAAAGACAAATAAGTTTGATCCTGCCAATCAGGTTCATCAGAATGAAAATACTCATGTCTTTCAGTCTCTTTTTGCATAATTTTTTAGCAATATCATGCTTTGTGTTTTCAGAACTTCCTGTGCTCTGAGTGTGGAGATGAATTTATTCTTCAGAGTCAGCTTTCTTTGCATCTTGAGGAACATAGGGAAGAACTCAGTGGAACAAAGTCACACACTTGCAAGACCTGCAGCAAAGAGTTCTCAACACAAAACCAGCTGAAAGAACATTTGAAAAGTCATGCTAAGATCAGGTGTGATTACTGTTGAATCAATGCTGTTGTCTTCAGCTGAAGGGTTTAGACAAAAATGAGAACTCTGTCATCATTTACATGTGCCTCTTTTTCCTCAAAAGGAGATGTTTAGACAAATGTTCACAAAGCACTTCAGCATGCCACCACAGTTTATATAGTCAAAAAAGAGAACATTTGGTCACTATAAGAGACAATCAAAAGAGCCAGGTTAACATTTCTCAGAAATTCTCTTTGTGTTCCATAAAAGATGGAAAGTTGTACAAATTTGGAACAACATGAGGGTGAGTAAATGAAAACATGATAGCACGGTTTTCATTTTTGCACAAACTAAACTCTTCAGGCACAGCGAATAATTTGTGCTCTTGAGTGAATCTCACAAAAACATTTTTTTTTAAATAAGTTCATTCCACTATGAAAATAAGCTGCAAAAATGATTAGTTTTGAATCTCAATATGTCAAGCATAAATCAACCCTGACTAAAGGACATCATGCAAGAAATTATTGAGAATCACTGGACATTCAAGTCTTAACGAACATGAAACTCATGCAGAAACATGCACTTCACTGATCGGAAGTGCACAACAAACACAATATGCATTCTAAAATTGGCTCAGAATATTAAACATGTTTAATATCCTTTAAAATAGTCTAAAGCGAAAAAATTGAAGCTGTGCCCAAGAAACACAATGGTATTTTCTGTGAAATTTGTCAATTGAGACTGCCCAATAATTGCAGACTGGCTCTGACCTACGGAAAGTGTTGACTGGTGCAAAAATATGGGCAAAAATCATGATGTGTATTCCAGTGAGAAAAAATATAAACCTGATCATTTAAATTATGCCATATCCTAAAAACACGTAAATCTTTTCAAGTGAAACTGAGAGATAACATTAGACAAGTCATGATGCCATGTTGAAGAGCTTAACTTAAAGACTGCCAACAAAAGCCCAAAATCAGAAGCATTGCTCTGTGTGGATTTTCAAAGACACAATCTGAGAGAAACACAAATGCATTGGCAGATACCTGAGAGATATTTAGCATTTTAAATATCTAGTGTGAAGTGTTATGACTGGAAATCACATCAGAGACGTCAGACAGTTGTGTAGTGTTAAAAGACAGCAATCCGATGATTTTAAAAGTCCTATAGCATGTGGGTGGCTTAATGTACAATGCATTTTTATGTAAATATAACACCCCTCATCTTATTATTTAGATTTCGCAATGTTTGTAACTTAGTTGCTGACTCTCACTAACCATTTTATGTTATGCTGTTTGGTTGCGCCATAGAGATGTTGTCTGTTTGAAATGTGACATTCTTGATAGAGATATATGAGATTCATCCACTTAGATACCAGCTCTTTAATTTATTTATATATATATACGGTATATATATGTATATGGAGCCCCGCACATGACATGCAAGAAAAAATAAATAAATCGTGCACACAATTACTATTTCGTTCCCTCGATTTGCTAATTTTTTCCCTCGATTTGCTAAATCGTGCGTACAATTTACTAATTCGTTCTCTCGATTTATAAATCGTGTGCATGATTTAGCAAATCGAGGGAACGAATTAGTAAATCGTGCGCACAATTTATAAATCGAGGGAACGAAATAGTAAATTGTGCACCCGATTTAACCTACTATTTTTTTTTTTCCTGCATGCCATTTGCGGGGCTCCGTATATATTTGGAAATTGTTTTAGTTTACTATGAGCTGAAAAATCAGATCAGTTTTGATTTATTTATTGTGAGTATATAAATTCAGATATATTGTATGTACTATTTGAGTTCAGCTTTGTTGCTCACACTCTGATCCTCAATTCGTTTTAAGGCCTGTTATAACAAGTTCAAGAAACTATAAGAGCATTGATCGGAGAGGATTCAAAAACATTTGTCATCACTGTGGGAAGACGTTTAAAAAACCCAGTCAGCTTGTTAGACATATACGCATTCACACAGGTAAACCCAAATACACATATTTTTTTTATACTTAAAGTGACAACACTAATATTTATATTTTCATGAACCTGTGCTGTTGACTGTTTGACAGTGTATTTTGTGTGCTACAGGTGAGAGGCCATATAAATGCACTCACTGTGGAAAGGCCTTCAACCAAAAGGTGGTGCTGCAGACACACATGGTGCGACATACAGGGGAGAAACCTCACATGTGCTTGCTTTGTCCTGCCTCTTTCTCCCAAAAAGGAAACCTTCATTCGCATGTTCAGAGAGTTCACTCACAGGTAACACCCTCTGCATTACCTGTCACGTGTTCATCGGATTGTCTTTGTAACACACATTGTATGTGTGTGTTGATAGAGAGTAGGGTGACCATACGTGCCATTTTCCCAGGACCCAGACCAGGATTTGCCCAGGATTTTCCCAGGACCCTGGCCAGGATTTCTATATTGCCTAAAATATCTAGGTTTTGGCTTTGTTTGCGTGTGCAGACCGATCGGTGTATGACATCAAAATACCATACAGACGGTTATGCTTTCGAAACGCTCTCGAGGTACTTTGATGTCAAACACTGATCGGTCTGAGCCGCACTGCTTTTAAGTCGAACACACCTGTACGCGTAATTGCATCGCTTTGTCCATAGATCCCACCTTCTCACACGCCATGATTGGTCCATTATGTACAATGCTTGCATGTTATTGGTCAAACTACTTTTCGATCATTACCTTCAGCAAGCATGAAAACAGGAAAACAAAGCCAAAACAAATCCTGGCCAGGACGCGTCCTGGGAAAATGGCACGTATGGTCACCCTAGTAGAGAGTATTTATAATCAATTGTCATTCAAATTAACAATCAAATAAACAAATAATAGTTCATATTAATGCCACAAAAAATATGGAGAACTCCAAATATCATGTCTTCATAGTAGGGCTGCAGTGATACTTGTATCCATAAGGATAAAGGGCTTTCTACTGTACACACAACACAATAATACAAAATTATTACATTTGTATCTTGGCATGAGCAGATACAAAAAATATTTAAAAAATTATAAAATAATAATAATAATAAACATTGGAGCAGCACAACATTAATAGCATTAGTAATGACTCTAAAGGGGGGAAAAAATGGCTATTAGAACTTCCACTTTTTTGTTGTAGTTGTCATTATCTAATACCTTTGTTGTTAATTTCCTTTAGTTACTTGCTACTTTCTGCTATCGTTCTGTCTTTCTATCGCCATGATTAATCCATTTGGAGCTGTAGTCCCACCCATTCAGAGTTACATTATGGACTGAATGAACCATTAAAGTCAAAACTCATTCAAGATGGTCCTCGAGGGTCACGCTATGAATTTTTGGATTATGCGCTTTTGTTAATTGGTTCCCCATTCACTGTGGGAGAAACGGTGGGGGCCAACACTGTCAAACTCCGGCGGCTGCAGAGCTTGGCCAATCTCGGAATACTAGTCTGGTTATCTCAAGACCCAAACTCTCAGCACTCCCAAGCCCAGTGGCTGCCACACCAGAGCATCTTCACGTCACAGCTGCTGATCCAGAGCCTCTTCACTTCATGGCTGCCGCTCCAGAGACTCGTCTCGTCATGAAATGGCCGCCACTCCAGATCCTTGTCAAGACATGGCTGCCATTCCAGAGTCTCATTCCATCATGGCTGCCAGCTCGGAGCCTCTCCACAAGATGGCCGCCAGTTCAGAGCCTCCAGTTGTCATGGCCACCACGCCAGAGCCTCCAGCCATCATGGATGTGACAGCACAGTCTTCAGCCGTCACGGATGCCACTCCTGTGTTCCCGGTCATCGTGAAAGTTGCATTTGAAGACATGTAGGCGTTTTGGGCCTTTGGGGCTGATCTCCAGTTTGGCGGACCCACTGCAGGTTTCGGCCAGAGCAGCTGGTATCCCAAGGGCCTCAGCACTGGTTGTCACAGAGGCTGTTCCCCTATCCTCAGTGCTCCCTGTAATGGTGGTAGCCATCTTGTGTGTTTGGGCTACACACTGCTCTGTTACTCCTCCTCATCTCTCCCCCTGTTCCGCCTCCGCTTCACCACCCTCCTGGACTCTCTTTCCAAGGAATTCTATTTATTTTTGTTTTTTATAGTAAATATATTCTTGTGGGTCTATTCTTGTACATGAGCATTATTTTAGGGAGGTTTATCACAAAGTGTTCAAATGGCCATGGTCCCGACTGGTGGGTTACTGCCACTTCAGTGCAGCCAGCCACTTTCAGCTCCGAATTTAACACGTCCCATATCACTTCATAAAACGTCTATCATGTAAAAGAATAAAGTATACAAATTAACAGATGCACAATGGAAAAAATATATATATTATTCCCGGAGCTAGAATGGAAGGAGAGCAAAACACATAAATCTGCCATATAAATCAGTGGTTCCTGACAGTGGCCTGCCAGCCGCCAGGCAGCCAACCACCGGCAGGTCATGTTACCTGCCAGAATAAGACTGCCAGCCGCCACCAATCACCAATCACGTGACTTGCCAGTGGCTGGTGCTGTCAGTCAGTTAGGTGTTGAACCCCTAATGACAAAAACACGGCCAGTTGCCAATCGCGTAAGTTCCAGGGCTTCACCTCCTTCGGCCATCTTACACACAGCTGACTGACTGCTTGCACCAACAGGAGGGGTTGTGTTACTCTATTTAAAAAATTATAAAATAATAATAATAAACATTGGAGCAGCACAACATTAATAGCATTAGTAATGACTCTAAAGGGGGGAAAAAAATGGCTATTAGAACTTCCACTTTTTTGTTGTAGTTGTCATTATCTAATACCTTTGTTGTTAATTTCCTTTAGTTACTTGCTACTTTCTGCTATCGTTCTGTCTTTCTATCGCCATGATTAATCCATTTGGAGCTGTAGTCCCACCCATTCAGAGTTACATTATGGACTGAATGAACCATTAAAGTCAAAACTAATTCAAGATGGTCCTCGAGGGTCACGCTATGAATTTTTGGATTATGCGCTTTTGTTAATTGGTTCCCCATTCACTGTGGGAGAAACGGTGGGGGCCAACACTGTCAAACTCCGGCGGCTGCAGAGCTTGGCCAATCTCGGAATACTAGTCTGGTTATCTCAAGACCCAAACTCTCAGCACTCCCAAGCCCAGTGGCTGCCACACCAGAGCATCTTCACGTCACAGCTGCTGATCCAGAGCCTCTTCACTTCATGGCTGCCGCTCCAGAGACTCGTCTCGTCATGAAATGGCCGCCACTCCAGATCCTTGTCAAGACATGGCTGCCATTCCAGAGTCTCATTCCATCATGGCTGCCAGCTCGGAGCCTCTCCACAAGATGGCCGCCAGTTCAGAGCCTCCAGTTGTCATGGCCACCACGCCAGAGCCTCCAGCCATCATGGATGTGACAGCACAGTCTTCAGCCGTCACGGATGCCACTCCTGTGTTCCCGGTCATCGTGAAAGTTGCATTTGAAGACATGTAGGCGTTTTGGGCCTTTGGGGCTGATCTCCAGTTTGGCGGACCCACTGCAGGTTTCGGCCAGAGCAGCTGGTATCCCAAGGGCCTCAGCACTGGTTGTCACAGAGGCTGTTCCCATATCCTCAGTGCTCCCTGTAATGGTGGTAGCCATCTTGTGTGTTTGGGCTACACACTGCTCTGTTACTCCTCCTCATCTCTCCCCCTGTTCCGCCTCCGCTTCACCACCCTCCTGGACTCTCTTTCCAAGGAATTCTATTTATTTTTGTTTTTTATAGTAAATATATTCTTGTGGGTCTATTCTTGTACATGAGCATTATTTTAGGGAGGTTTATCACAAAGTGTTCAAATGGCCATGGTCCCGACTGGTGGGTTACTGCCACTTCAGTGCAGCCAGCCACTTTCAGCTCCGAATTTAACACGTTCCATATCACTTCATAAAACGTCTATCATGTAAAAGAATAAAGTATACAAATTAACAGATGCACAATGGAAAAAATATATATATTATTCCCGGAGCTAGAATGGAAGGAGAGCAAAACACATAAATCTGCCATATAAATCAGTGGTTCCTGACAGTGGCCTGCCAGCCGCCAGGCAGCCAACCACCGGCAGGTCATGTTACCTGCCAGAATAAGACTGCCAGCCGCCACCAATCACCAATCACGTGACTTGCCAGTGGCTGGTGCTGTCAGTCAGTTAGGTGTTGAACCCCTAATGACAAAAACACGGCCAGTTGCCAATCGCGTAAGTTCCAGGGCTTCACCTCCTTCGGCCATCTTACACACAGCTGACTGACTGCTTGCACCAACAGGAGGGGTTGTGTTACTCTCTACTCTGCACTCGACCTAATGGAATTCCTACACTTTCCATATTAGTTGAGACAATAAAAACGGTGCATACTGCAGGAACGGTATGACGTAAAATTGTAGTGGTTTTGACATTTTCAAATCGCGGTATACCTTAAAACTGGTAATCGGTGCATGCCTACCCTGGACGTGTTCAAGAACCTGTAAATGTCTTGGTGAAAGACATTCTACAGCAAGATCTGGCAAATCTGGTGCAGTCCATGAGGATGAGATGCACTGTAATACTTAAAGCAGCTGGTGGATACCGACTGCTACTTTTATATATACTTGCTACAATATTTGAACAAATGAGATGAATTTAATGAATATATAGTTGGGTAAAATCAATGGCAGTACTTTGTTACTCACTTGAATGCGTAATAAAACATGCAAGGGTGTCAGCAAAAGTACAGATACAATTTTACTGTACAGTTGCTTAAATGTCACATTTTTTACACCATATCAGACCATTTGCAGCACTGGGGGGCATACACCTCTGTATGAAATTTAGCACATTTTAAAGTTAAATGCATCAATTTGGTGCACTTTGAGAGTTCAAAATTAGTTCCAACCCATTTTTAGTGTCCAAATTGAACAGAGTAAAAAGTCTTTGCATTAAAGTCAAAGTGAACTCAGTTGTAATAATTTCTCCATGTTTCTCTTTTTTTTTCTCAGTATTTTCACCATCTAATGCTGGGCAAACAGGACAGCAACAAGCGCTACTGTGTAGCGCATTTTTGATTAAAAAAATATATTTTAAAAATTGCTCAGACCTGTTATAAACGCTTATATTTATAAGAAATGGCAAGCTGAATGGGATAAATCCATCTAGCTACTTATGACCACCCTCTGGAAAATGAATATTTTATCACAATTTCCAGTCACACACTGTAAATTGATTTGACATGCATGGTTGAATTCAGATTGAGATTATTCAGCCACACAAGAGCAACTCCTATTAAAACAGTCATTTTATTTGGGTTCTGAAACAAACTATACAAAATCAATCCTGTAGTTGGTGTAAAACGTTGTGCCCACTTTGAAAATCGATGGGATCATATTGTCGACACTCGCTGTCGAATAGGACATTCCAGACTAACCCATAGTTTTCTGTTGGCGGGTGAAGATCCTCCTTTATGTTCTTTATGCCAGAATCCATTATCTTTGAAGCATATTTTGATGGATTGTAATAGTTTAAAGTCTGTCATAAATCATTATTTTTCTGTTGACTTTTATGGAAATATCTTTAATGAAGTAAGGCCAGATTTAGTTTTAGAATTTTTATCTAAGATCACATTTAAAAACTTAATTTAACTTAAATAACCTCGTTCTCGCCATGAATATAGCCGAGGTAGTTTGCATGGTGTTAAATCATAAACAAACAAGCAATTTTAAAAAGTGCAATATACAACTGAAAAAGAACCCCAGTTCTTATACATGACAATACATACCATATGAAACATATCTAACCTAATTTTGTCTTAATTACAATGTGCAAAACCTTATTGTAAATGTATTATTCAAGGATAAATTGCCCGAGAAACCAGTGTAAGTATTAGATTTCATGCTTCCTGATAGTGGCACCTGGTTTTTTTTTTTTTTTTTTTTTTGAAGAAAGAAAGTCAGAGATAGAGAAAAAAATGTAGGACTCAGGCAGAGTCTATTTTTTTTTACTATTTCCCCCTATTTTTTTCTCACATTGCGATTCAGGGCTTCTGTACATTGGTCTGAACAATAACGGCAGACAAGCTGAATAAAAATGTAAATCCACTCTCTCACTGAGTTTGCCATGTTTTCATACAAAACAAAACCTATGCTGCATGTTGAGCCTCTGTGAGACCTGCTAATTTTGCTTAATGCAGCACAGTATTTACTGTCAGTTAAAAATACACTTTTAATTAAAATATGAAATGTGATACTAACCATTGGGAATTTTTCAAACCAGTAACTGTTTCATTTATTAAAAATTTAGTTAAATGCTGTAATCATCTGTCCACAAAATTATGAGAATGTGAAAATAATCCATAACTGGTGCCGGTTGTGTTCCCACATGGAATAAGAAAAAATTGTGCTGGGTTGCCAGAGTCTAGGTAATTCTTGGGTGATAGTGTTGCAATAATTACAGTGTTGGTTCATTTTAAATTGCCAAAATAATAATGTTGAATAGCTTGAAAATATTCAGAATATGTCTCTATTTCTGGAGTGTAGGTGCTTTTGTTAATGAAAAATCTCTGTTTTTAGGCAAGTGATGTTCCACTCTTCCCATGTATGGATTGTAGCTGTGTCTATAAAAAGCTTGGCAGCCTCAACGCTCACATCAGCAAAATGCACATATCAGTAATGGAAGTTGAGGAGCCAGCAACACAGGTGATTTCAGTCTGTTCAGTCTGTCTGAGATAAACTCATCTTACAGCTGACGTGCAGTAAAGGGGATACTCCACCCAAAAATGAAAATGTTCTCATCATTTACTCACCCTCATGCCGCCCAAGATGTATTTGACTTTCTTTCTTCTGTGGAGGATGAGTAAATGATGAGCGAATTTTTATTTTGGGGGTGGAATATTATTATATCCCCTTAGAAATTAGATGTGTGAAGCTTTGCTTAACTGTGCTTGACCTTGATCCAGAGGAATACAAAGATGTTAACTCGGGGTTAAATGGAGTGTGAAAAGCCTTTTGTTCACAGTCATCCTTACATAAGCAGCTTACCTGTAAAATATGATTCTGTTTTTGTTTTTTGTTTTCAGAAAGGAAATTCAAGGGTTGATCAGGGTGCAGTGGGATCAGAAGGGGCAGAGGGTGTGACAGATGTGATCCAACAGCTGCTGGAGCTGTCTGACCATGTGACGGCAGACAGTGCTCAAGCACCTCCCCCTGGGCAGCCCATAGGCACGGCAATCAACCAGGACATCCTACAGGTAACCAAGATCTATTTCAGTGAAAGAGAGTAAAAGTAGCATGAAACCTACTCAAGAGGGCATTTTAAATGACTGTAGATGAAGCCGCTACCTGGTTGAAGCAGATGCAAGATGTCAGTTGATCTCATTAGATAGCATAAAAGGCCTGATTCCATGGTGACAACAGGTCCATGTGTTCCTGTACTCTGCACAACACATGCCAGACATTCACATCACAGTTGACTGCTCCAGATTTTTTTACCCTTACTTTATGTCACGGATCTTGTTTTGGATGACAGTGTGAACATAGTAAATGTGACACATCTATTCTGTGATTCCTGGCTCAGATCATGCACCTGTACAATACATTCTACTAAAATCACTGACTTCATGAAAAATTTGGCCCCATTTTCATATCCTCCTACTCATAATTAACTGACCCATACCTCCAATGCACATCACCTTCACTGATATTTCCTCTTTTTTGTATCCTTAAACATTCCAAGCTAAGGTGCTTTATGCATGCAGGTTAGAAGTGTCGTCTGTTCAGATCAAAGTCTGATTATTAGTTTCATTTAAAAAGTCAAGTGAACAAGTCTATTGAATTTGAATGAGAAATCAGACCTTTTTACCTTTTTTACCTTTAAACCCCCCAAACCAAATGCATTTTTCCTCTTTTTTTTTTTTTTTTGAAGAAAGGGTATCAGGTTAACTGGTTTTCAACTTTCTACTCAAGAACAACTAAAACTGAGTTTATTCCAGTGTTCTGTTAATTTCTGCAAAAAACAGTTTGGCTCCTAAAAAATTGTAAGCGCAAAGCCCTGCGTTCCCTCTGATAATACGAGATTTTACTTTCTGTCTCCTCTTAAAAGATCACATTATAAGTTACTGCAAGTCATCATGCACAAGATCATTATCACATTATGCAGAAGTTACAGATCAATCCAGGCCAGCACACATCTACATTGGCCAGAGATTTTTGCTTACCACAAATCACTTTTATATCGATGGAATGAAATTGTTCTCTGTTGACACAAGCAAATATGTTCTCTGCTGGTGCCTTTATTGCAACATCAGCACAGTCGATTGGGGTTTCAGTTCAGTTCAGTGGGTTTTCCGATTGCAGTTCAGTAGTTTAAATGCCATCAGCTTAGGTTTGTTTATAATTATAAGTATATAATTCATTAAAAGGGCTAATAATTTATAATTAAATGAAGGCTAAAATCATTGTAGAAAATGGCCTTTTATTTATAAATTATGACAGTTTTTGATATAAAAATCCTATTCAAATTATGCGTGCACCTTAGGAAACAGTATAAAACAAATTAAAATGCAATTCATGACCCCTTTAACATTTGCTGTAATGAAATTTGATGTTTTCACAGCAAGCTCTGGAGAACAGTGGACTGACTGAGATTCCAGTTCAGCCTGAAACTCAGAGCAGCTCAGAAAAACTTCAGCCAGACACAGCTGCCCCGACTGCCACTTCAACAAATGATGGACCAGTCCCCTCAAAAATACTTATGACTGACACTGTTGTAAAAAAGGAGAAAAGAAGCATTATCAAAAAGCCTCCACAGATGCTAGGTATGCTTTACAGGCCTGGAACACTTTCGTTTATTTGTCCTCTACTAAATGGATAAATGAGAGTTGCCACAGCTTGATCTGAAAAGTTAAAATAGGATGGTTCCCATTTAACCCAAAATTTGCTGCAAAGTTGTTTATAGGGCATTGTAAAAAATTAGAAAGTTTAGAATGCACAAATAAATGTTTTTTAACAGTGAATCCAGATAAGTTTCAGTAGGATTTCAGTAAAATAAACATTCGGATTTTTGTTTTTTAAAAGAAGGTGTTTGTTTTATTTCTCATATCATTTTAGATAACTGGTATCAATCTCAGACAGTTTTTTTTTTATAGTTACCTGTAACGGTTACCTGTAACCTGTAATAGTTACCAAAAAAGATTCAAAAGCTAGAATCAAAAGATTCTAAATATCTTAGAATTATTTCATACGACTTATGTTTATATTCTCTCTGACGAACAGACCAAGCGGCAACCTCCCCCTCTCTCTCGTAAAGTTCTGCATAATTAAGGGCGTGGCCACTTGAGTGACAGGTGGATTGCCGCTGCTGTCACCACCGTCGAGCTAGGTGGGTGTGGCTTCAGCAACCTGCTCCCGCCTCTTTGCCCATTTTCGATTATATGGGAGTGACGCGCGGTGACGCGCTGCCAAGATGGCGACGGCCGCCTCCGCCCAATTTTGAGCTTCAAAAACGCTCTTCGGAAATCTATGGGTGACGTCACGGACACTACATCCATGTTTTCATACAGTCTATGGAACAGACCCATACTGGAGGCACTTTTCACTGATAATGTGGTCTCAGACTTTAGGATCCAGCTCCATTAGTATTCACAATTATATAGCAGATATGATATTTGTGTTTGTTTTTAGGCACCATCAGGCAGGAGAATGGTGTGAGGTGGCACGGCTGTCCATACTGCTCCAAAGAGTTCAAGAAACCCAGCGATCTGGTCCGTCATATCCGTATTCACACTCATGAAAAACCCTACAAGTGCAAGCAGTGCTTCCGTGCCTTTGCAGTCAAGAGCACCCTGACTGCCCACATGAAGATCCACACAGGCATTAAAGCTTTTGTGTGTCAGTACTGCATGAAATGTTTCTCCACATCTGGGAGCATGAAGGTCCATCAGCGTCTCCACACTGGTAAGAACATCACTCTTTCTGTTACATACACATACTTTGTCCAAGAGTTCCTAGATCAGGGGTGTCCAATCCTTCACTGTATTGCAGAGTTTACCTCCACTACTGTACACCTAAGCCGTTTTTCAATACCAAGTTCGCAAAATTCGTACTTGCGTCCTTGGTAGTTCAGGCTTGGCAAGTCCGACTCGGGAGTGCGAACTCCTGAGGATGGGATGACACATGTCCAGTAATCCTGCAAATGGAATTGCACCATACTTGATAATGTCACTCAGCTCGCCTTGGCTACTCCGGTTATCCTCACTGTACTGTATGTATATTAACAATTAGACGAAATATGATATCAAAAACCACTGCCTCTTTTCATTTTAATTTAAACATATTATTAGCCACAAAAGTGTAGTTCAGGCAACGTATACATATTTTGGTTACTTTCACTATATATATACTTAACAAAAAAAATATAAAACACAACCCTCTTTTCATTTTCATTAAAAAAATATAAACATATTAATTAATATGTGGTTCAGGCAATATGTGCATATCTTCACTGTATGTATGTGTATAATAAAATGAAATATGACAAAGCACAACTCTGCCTCTTTTTGTTAAAGGTCAGTTTTAATGAACAATAATAGCCATAAAAGTATAAGAGGCTTATATAATAGGAAATAAAGACAAAAGCATACAATTCAGTCAAACGTATGCTACAAAGTCAGCGCTCTACTATGGTAAAGTTAAATAAATATATAAAGTTATGAAACATAACTTTGTGCTCAGCCAAAACGATATGACCTGGAGCAAAATAGATTCATGAGACCAAAGATTGCCTGTTAGATATAAAACAAATTATATTAACCACAAATAATTTTAACCACTTCAGAGACATCACAGCCAGCAGCAAATGTCAGAAGGACTAGCTGAGGTGAGGCTGCTCTCGGCGGGATACATGAGCACTGAGCGCCTGGTGATCGCCTGGAGCTCACATCTCCTAAATCGGCGAAGCAAATTTTCAATTAGACGCTATCTTTATAAATAAACCATAGATTTGAGTTTTAGACAACTACATTCTCACCTGAAAAACTCTTAAAACTACATTTCATGACACTACATTAGGGGGAAGTTGTGGCCTAATGGTTAGAGAGTCGGACTCGTAACCCAAAGGTTGCGGGTTCGAGTCTCGTACCGGCAGGGATTGTAGGTGGGGGGAGTGAATGTACAGCGCTCTCTTCCACCTTCAATACCACGACTGAGGTGCCCTTGAGCAAGGCACCGAACCCCCAACTGCTCCCCGGGTGCCGCAGCATAAATGGCTGCCCACTGCTCCGGGTGTGTGTTCACGGTGTGTGTGTTCACTGCTGTGTGTGTGCACTTTGGATGGGTTAAATGCAGAGCACTAATTCCATGTATGGGTCACCATACTTGGCCACGTCACGTCACTTTTTTTTTTTATTAATTTTTTTTTTTACGCTTGCTGGTTGGTGTGAAATGCATTCTGGGGTACCTGGCGGCCTCAAGTTCGCACAAGTCACCTCTTGATGCATCCTCAATAAAAGGGGTGCAGCAAGAACACATCTGGGGATTTGGACTGTACTTGGCTAGATGTGAAATTTGAATTGGAACATTATTGGGCAATGACTGATGACGTTTCACAAGTCCACAAGAACACAAGTGCAGACAAAAACGCATATTGAAAAACGGCTCTAGAGTTAGAAGAACTAGAAGTTTCTAGTTATCCTGAAGACATTGATTAACTTGTTCTGGTGTGGTTAATTAGGACTGGAGCTAAACTCTGCTAAAAGTTGGCCCTCAAGGAATAAATGCATATTGTGATTAATAACGTCTTATCAACGCATGAATGTGCAAATATTAAAATGTTTTATATTTACTGTGTTATTACCATGTTAGTACTACATTACTTGACCTTTTTTTTTAATTAAAAGAAAATTTCTTTAAAATTTCAAATTATCCATGTACTCTACAGCAACTATTGTGATGCAAGATTTTTTTTCTTTCAATTTGTGTGAGAAATTTTATTTTAACACATAATTATGCAGGGTGTGAATTACGGGAGGTTTGATCCCCCCCTGATGGATGTCAAAACTAGATGTGGGGTGGGGGGGGATAGAAAGTAGCCTATGCATAATATGAAGATTTACTTGTTAAATATAAAGATGCATGGCTCTGACTGATTTTAAACTGTAATAATAATAATTTCAACTTGGCAGCCCCTGAAATGGATCATCTCGTTCATTCAAGGGCGTGCATTTATTACTTGGACGGAGCAAGAACACTTTCTTAAATTCATGTGCAGATTCGAGTAATAAAGTTCACCCTCTTTAACTTTATGCTGTTTTGAATTTGTTAAAATAACCATAATATTAACAGCAACACTGAAATACGAGTGCGCGGTTTATCTGTCCGTCAGATGCGCATTAAAGTTGCATGTGTTACTAAAACAAACACTGCTTGTTTTCTTTCACCTCATTGGCTGGTCGAAAGAAAAATAGATTACTTTCAAGTTTTTACTTACAAATGAAGATAAGATAAAGGTGTAAATAATATCGGGGGAAGAAAAAATATATTAACGACTAGACTCGAGCAAGAGAGATGATTTATTTTTCCCGAATATCTGCACGATTGCAAATGTGATATTGATTTTTTTTTTAATAAACAATGTTTTGATATTGTGTAACATTTTAGACACATTATTGTCAATATTTGTCTGTTTGTGTGCAAGTTCGCTAACGAAAGCAGAACTGTTGTGCGTTTCATTACTGTTCCGGTGTTTCGTTACTGAATGAATCCATGTTTTTTTTAAACGAATCGATTGAGCTAATGATTCAGTGAGCCATTTATAAATAGAGTCACTTTTCTTTCACAAAAAGAGTATATACTTTAAGGGCATAGTATAAGTAGGCGAATTGGGATGCAGCAACTGGCTTTGCTTCTGAATGAATTAGCTGTTTGAACTAATCGGTTGAATGAATGACTGAATGGCTCACTCATTAAAACAGCGATTTGCCGCCACCTACTGGCTCTTTTAGTTTTATATTTGGAGTAGAATATTATAAGTTATATAATACAGTATATTTTTGTTTTTGTATGTTGAATCAAAATATTTATTTTCTTTACAATGTCTATTCAGTGCTTTTCTAATTTAACACAATAATGACTTTAAATGATCTTTAATAATGATTTTAATCGGCACATGATGTGCTGATTAATTAATCTAATTCTTTGAGATTAATTTGATTAATTAATCAGCACATTGTGTAATTAATTAGATTAAAACATTTTTAAAAAAATACACAATAAAATTTGCCCCCGGAAGCCTAATTTGGAAGTGGTTTGAAAGTGAATAATGCATAAGTAAAACCTTGAAGACACTGTTCAGACTGTGAACTTTGGACTTTGGACTAAAACAGCCCACATTAATGAAACCTACAAATTCTTTTTCTAATAAATAAAAAAATATTACTGAACTTTCACTTTACATTCCTGTGGATTTAGTGCATTTAAATTGTTTATTTGTTATGTCAGTTACATGTTGTCTGTTTATAATGCATTTGTATGTGCTTATTCATGTTTATCAGTAAAATACAGTGCTAAAATTACTTAAGAGATTCAGGAAAGAAGCTAAATATATTTTTCAAAAGTATTTATGACAAATCTAACTCGTGAAAAAATTATATGTAAAAAAAAAAAGTGTATTTTGATAGTCTTGACATTTCCAAAATTGCCCAAATGCAACAGTAGGGTTAATGGGGGAAAATGGCTATACAAAGAGAAAAAGAAACATGATGTCTAACACTTCCTCAACCGGTGCCAGATCAAGATGTGAAAACAAATGAAGGAGTAAATCTGCACAGTCTTTCATTTGCAAAAAAAAAATATATATATACATATATATATATATATATTGACTTGACATGTTTATCTGCCTCTCCTTAGGTTTACGGCCGTTCCCTTGTCCTCACTGCGAGAAGTTCTTCCGTACATCAGGCCACAGGAAAACGCATGTCACCTCACACTTTAAGAGTATACACCATAAAAAACACAAATACCCTCGAAAAACTCACAAAACCAGAGTGTCCAGGAGCAATCTGCCTTTGCCTGATATACCTCTCCAGGAGCCAATACTCATCACAGACATGGGTACGGAAGATCATCAACAAAGTGTTTCCATGCACCTTTACAGTACAACAGTACCTGAGCTTGTAGTTCCGCACATACTATATAATTATATTCAGTCTAAATCAGGGTCAGAAATTAACCAAGCCACAGAAGCAAAATGCCACGGAAAGTGACAAAAATGCCCCAAATATTTGAAAAGTTGGGGGGCAAAAATCCCTGAAGAGAATCTCTCAATGTTATCAACCTTTTGGCATACAGTATTTCTTTATATTCCGTTCTAAGTTTTCAAGTTTAGTTTGTTTGAAATACTGTCCATCAGGAAAGCTGTTCTTATTGGATGGGATTGTAGGTCATTCTGAAGATATGCACATAAATATGAGCAGTAGTTTATCTGTTTTTAGCTGTAAATATCTGTTTGCAGCACAGCACAAATCACATCAACACAAGCATGCTTGTGTACTGTGTGGTACAATTTAAGTTAAACTTGTCATGTTTTACTAATTTTAAAAGTCTTACCCAAAGCATCTTATAATTTTTCTCTTTTTTTATATGATGTGTGTTTTATTAATCATATTTTATTAACGGTTTTCTATGAGATCCTTACATGTTCTATGTCAGTTTCATAGTGTAGTGTCATCCATTATTGGTAGGGCTGGTCAATATGTCAGAATATTTCAGACTATTTTCATCCTTGCAATATTTTAACAACATTTTTGCAAATGTATATTAATATTAGCCTTAATCATAGATTATTTTACATTTACATTTAGTCATTTAGCAGACGCTTTTATCCAAAGCGACCTACAAATGAGGACAATAAAAGCAATGCATAAATATGAGCAGTAGTTTATCTGTTTTTAGATGTAAATATCTGTTTGCAGCACAGCACAAATCACATCAACACAAGCATGCTTGTGTACTGTGTGGTACAATTTAAGTTAAACTTGTCATGTTTTACAAATTTTAAAAGTCTTACCCAAAGCATCTTATAATTTTTCTCTTTTTTTATATGATGTGTTTTATTAATCATATTTTATGACACACCCATTTCAGTTAAATCAATTTATTTATTTATTTTATTTAGTTATTTAGCAGACGCTTTTATCCAAAGCGACCTACAAATGAGGACAATAAAAGCAATCAAATGCAAGTGCTATAACAAGTCTCAGTTAGCTTAACGCAGTACACATAGCAAGGTTTTTTTTTCAATTATATAATAAATAAAAAGAAAACGGATAGAATAGAAAAAAAATAGAGCAAGCTAGTGTTGGGAATTAGAATAGAGAGTGCTAGAGTTAGAGGGTCAAATAAAGATTTTATCAGTAATAAAATCTCTGAGCTCCTTCCAGCACCACTTGCATGCAATGAATTATATAAAAATGATGAAGTGTGTTATGCTGTGGTATCTGTTGGGGAGCGATTTTATAGTCATTTTGTATTTGTTGTGTTTGTTCTCAGGTATGAGCTGGCTCAACAGCTGCAACAGCAGCAGAGCTCAAATGACATGCAGCCCTCCACAGCTGTGGTTGGCGCAGGGACCCAGAGCATGCTTGAGGTGGTGGGAGACGGCCAACAGGTGGCACTGGGGGAAGATGCTCTGCAAGAAACAGGTGAGAGGGACACAAGATCTTTTCTCTAACAATATTTTTTTCCTTACAAAACAACTGATTGGTTATTGACGAACATGAACTGGGACCCTGACACTGAGAGGCTAGTGAGACCGGAGGTCATGTTTGTTTCAGGGGTGTTTTGGCAATGCCTCCTCCAAAAATGAATGAGAAATAATTCACAGTACAAAATGTTTAGCAGTTCTAGTGCAAGACACAATATAATCATCGGTTCTACCACCACTCATTTGCTATTACGATTATTTGTGTATAGATTAATCAATCCACACTAGAATATGAATTCACATCATATCCTCTGAGCATTAAATTACTTTTTATTTAACAAAATCAGCCAAAACATTAAAATAAATCAATCCATTTTTGTAGTTAATGCATTATTGCATGCAGTTGATTTTAAGATAAGAAAAAAGTGTATGGGTTCATGAAACAATTTGTAAAACCAATTTGATGTACTGCTTAAATATAGACACCAGACAAATGTTGATTTCTGCAACAGTGTCTCTTTACGCATCTCACTTGCACAAAAATAGATTCAATAAATTCATTCAATGAATAAAAACTGACCAGGAAATACAATGAATTTCATGCAACTCAATTAATTATGTACAATAATGCAACCATGTCTTATATGGACTTAATATTACTATATTTAATATTATAAACTTAATACCAATATTAAGTTTAACCATACAACATGATGACCACAAATGACTTCAGTTAAAAATCATGTCTGTGTCATTTTATTTATTATTTTACAGCTAAAAAGATTAGACTGTTGAACTTGCTTCTCCTGTGTTCTGTTGTTTTGATATCCAGAACATTGAGGACTTTGACTCCTTATTTCAGAACACCACAGCATTCAATGAATAAAAACTGACCAGGAAATACAATGAATTTCATGCAACTCAATTAATTATGTACAATAATGCAACCATGTCTTATATGGACTTAATATTACTATATTTAATATTATAAACTTAATACCAATATTAAGTTTAACCATACAACATGATGACCACAAATGACTTCAGTTAAAAATCATGTCTGTGTCATTTTATTTATTATTTTACAGCTAAAAAGATTAGACTGTTGAACTTGCTTCTCCTGTGTTCTGTTGTTTTGATATCCAGAACATGATAACAGAACTTTGACTCCTTATTTCAGAACACCACAGCATGCCACTGGATTGTTCACATAGAATCATTACTTTATTTAAAAGAAAAGATGGGATTGATGAAAAAACAAAACATTAAATTAACTATGAAAATTGTATTTATCCACAGAATCGTTTGTGAGTGTGCAGCATGCACACATGGGACAGTTTGAGGCACCAGCGCTGTCTCAGCCCACATTTGAACAGCCAGCTATGACGCAAGGTAACACACATGCACACCCTTCTGTAAATATACTTGTTTTGGACTAAATTTGCATGCAGTTCATTGAGTAATGTTACACTATGAATGTGTGTCATGTGAATGTGCTGTAGAATGCATATGTCCATGCAGCTTCAGTGAGACAAAGACTCTTCTGCCTCCACCTTCTTGTTTTAGTCATTTATGTATGAAGACAGAATCATAACTCTACATATAGACTAAATATTTATGGATACACACTGATTGCAGCAGTGTTTCTTCTTGCCTTAATAAAACATTAACTTCCTGAATTGTGCAGAGTCTCTTGTGAGAAATTAAGCAAAATTATGCTCTTCATGTTTTGTGTGATTGGCAGTTCACACGCTCCAGGGTTAATCATAAACTCTGGATTTGTTTGGTTTGGTTCAACTTCATGTAACAGGCCACAAATGTAATGGTTGGATTAAAACAGCCTCAAAAAGCTCATGTTTTATTTGACAGACTTCAATACTTTAGACATATATGTGACCCTGGAGCACAAAACCAGTCTTAATTCGCTGGGGAATATTTGTAGCAATAGCCAAAAAATACATTGTATGGGTCAAAATTATTGATTTTTCTTTTATGCCAAAAATCATTAGGATATTAAGTAAAGATCATGTTCCATGAAGATATTTTGTACATTTCCTACTGTAAATATATTAAAACTTAATTTTTGATTAGTAATATGCATTGCTAAGAACTTAATGTGGACAACGTTAAAGGTGATTTTCTCAGTATTTATTTATTTATTTTTTTTTTTATTTTGTAAATTTCCTACTGTAAATATATTAAAACTTAATTTTTGATTAGTAATATGCATTTCTAAGAACTTAATTTGGACAACGTTAAAGGTGATTTTCTCAGTATTTATTTATTTTTTTTTTTTTGATCTTTGATTTTCAAATAGTTGTATCTCGGCCAAATATTGTCCTATCCTAACAAAACCATACATCAATGGAAAGCTATATTATTTTCAGGTGATGTATAAATCTCAATTTTGAAAAATTGACACTTAAGACTGGTTTTGTGGTCCAGGGTCACGTATGATGTTGACATTTACACCCGATCTAAACAGCACATCTCTGCGTGCATCGCTCTGTGTTGTGCATGGCGAATAAAATCAATCATTAGTTTGTTGTGTGCTTGTGAGGGGGGGAAAAGAGAGCTCTCAGCCAAGTGATGGTGAGTTTTGTGCCTACACACTAAGAGATTGTGGTGCTTAAAATACGTTGCACCAAATACATTGATATTCATTGATATTGAAGCACTCGGTCAGTGTTCAAGTGTAGGCAAGTGAAAATATATCTGTGCTAAACTCATAAACTTATGCGAGCCATTAGAGGGTTGGTTTAAGATAGCTGTTACTAGAAAGAGAAGGCCTTATATAAAAAAATAAAATAAAAAAAGTTAATAGAAAATTACAGTTAGGTGAGTTTGATCAGAGTTTGAGCTAAACTCTGCCGGGCAGTAGGAACCCTGGTTTAAAATATATGTGTGCTCTGTTGCAGGTTTCACTATAGCTGAGGGATTTACTCAGCAGGCACATTTCTCTACAGTACAGCAGCTTCAGGACTCAAGCACACTGGAGTCACAAGCCTTGACGGCCAGCTACCACCCTCCCAACCTACTGCATGTAACACACTCCGAGGTACAAACACATCACCCCCCAAATCTACTGCACATAAAGCCGAACATATATAACAGCTGTGATTCCCAACCCTGGTTCTGCAATACCCCCGTACACGATATGGAGATCTCCCTTATCGGACACACCCATTTCAGTTAAATCAGCAGTTTTTAAATAGGTAAACATAGAAGTTTGCCGTATTGGGTGTTCTCTGCAACCAGGGTTGGGAATCACTGCACTAGAAAACAGAAAATTGCACACTTGTCCTCTGTTGTGCACACCAAACAACGGATCGCTGACTATGTGCATTAATTACAAGATCATTCTCCTCCTCAACCACAGTTATGATCGTAGAAAACATTCTAACACAAACTCATGTACATAGCAACTTAAAGGAAGGTCAGCACTATTTGAGATATCAGCCAGGCCTTGATATTATTTTGACCAAGTATGAAAATATAAGAGGACTAGAAATACAAGAGAACTATTTCAAAGCCTTTTTGTGAGTGAGGCACTTTCTGCTGCCAGTTAGTGGCACTATGACCATGACTCACAATAGTTACGTCCATGTGATCAGCCTCCTTGACCAAACATACAGCTCAAGTTTGATCGAAATCACTCAATGCACTTAGAATAATATGAGACACTTCCTGTTTTCCTTTTTTTCACCATAAATGTATTGCCTTTGCATGGTGAAAATATTCTAGATATTTAATTACAAAAAAATAATTGTCCACAGTTAAATATTTTCAATTTCCAAGACGTGTTCCCCAGAGTGTCTCGTGTTGGGTATAGGGTACCGGGCAGCTTTCCAAGAAACCTGGCATTGTACATTGTGATTATTATTGGCTCTGTGATGACTTACTGCTTCTCTATTGTAAGTCGCTTTGGATAAAAGCATCTGCTAAATGTAAATAAATGTAAATGTTCCATAGTATTAGCACACCATATATATCATATATTACCATCTTGACATGTCCATCTACCATTGTACCACCACAGCACTTTTTTTGTAAGAGTCATACAGAAAACATACATGAAATTAAAGTGAGATTAAATTATGTTATGTTAATTGTTGTGTCTTTGTACCATTTTACAAAATAAAGCCCTGCCGTTAATAAATTGTTGATAAAATGATAAAAAAAGAAGCAATAAACCTGTAAAGGAAAACAACTATTTTGTTCCTGTAAACTGTAAATTTATGTAAATAGATTTTGCTGTATTGCAATATGTAAGTATATCTGTGTTGTAAAGAAATATGCATGAATGCGAAAATGCAGTGTTCGATGCAATTGATGTTTAAAAAAAAAAGTTAATAAGCACAATAAGCAGCGAACAAGAACATAATGCGGTACTCGCTCACTGTCTGACACGCATCTTAAGCACGCTCACATAAAGGATGTCACAGAGCGTGACTACTGAATTGAGTTCTGTTTCACAGTTTATTGCGCTTAAATGGGTTGTCTTGTTAACTATTCAAGAAAAACAGTTGATTGAGAAAATCCTTGCAAATTTTGCACAAATCCTAATATTATTTTCTCTGTAAACAAAGATTTGTACTTCACTTGTCCCAATATCTACTTAAACCAGAAATCTTTCTATGCGCAAAAAATGGTTGTACTACTGCTACATGTATTTAGTTCAGTTTGTGCAGTAATATGTGTTTTGTTTCTTAGGTGCAGTATGTGTGATAAGAGCTTTAAAAAGTCCAGTCACCTAAAGCAGCATGTGCGCTCTCACACTGGAGAGAAACCTTATCGCTGTAACCTCTGTGGGAGGAGCTTTGTGTCCGCTGGAGTGCTCAAATCACACCTGAACACACACACAGGTGACATGAACTAACAATGAAGAATACTTCTAAAGCATGTATTAATCTTAGTTAATGTTAATTTTAACATTTCATACATTATTAAAATCTAAAGTTGTATCTCTTAATATTAATTAATGGACTTGAGCTAAGATGAACTAACAATTTGGTTACACTTTATTTTAAGGTGTCCTTGTTACAGTGTAATTATACATTTAAGTATTGAGTAATATTAATTAACTACATGTTCTTACTATATGGTTAGGATTAGGATTCGGGTTTGGCTTAGGGTTACTTGCATGTAATTATGCATAATTAATTGTTATTATAATAGTAAGTACATGTAACGTGTAACAAGGACACCTTAAAATAAAGTGTTACCTTATATTTTTATTAACTGAAACATGAATAAATACTGTAACAAACATATTGGTCATTGTTAGTTAATGGCAGTTAATGCATTAACTAATGTTAAACAATGGGACCTTATTGTAAAGTGTTACCAAAAACACATTATTTTATCATACATTCTGAAACCCTGTCCTGATCATATACTGTAAATTTCTCTTCTGTGGCTGTTCTTCTGCTTTCTCAGGAGTGAAGGCTTATAAGTGTAACATTTGTGACACCTGCTTCACCACTAACGGTAGTCTGAACCGACACATGGTCATCCACTTGAACACAAAGCCCTTCAAGTGCACAGTCTGCGAGGAAAGCTTCCGCACCATCATGCTGCGCAGGAAACACATGAAACTCCTGCATGCTGTAGGTCCCAAAGGTACTGACAAACTGAGGCAACAATTTCTGAATGTACCATCAATTTCTGCTGTTATGAAAGCACTTGCACGGTTGTGATGGTGCAGATATCGAGTTGCAATGAATTTGTGCATTCAACAGACACACCCAACAAAGAGACACACCCCTTTTAAACAGCACTTAAATCATAGGGTTTAAATCAGAATAGAACATTTCTAAATTTAGTTTTTTGTTTGTTTTTTTAATGTGAAAACCTTGTAAGTGAACCTCAGAAAACTAAATTTTAAACAACGTTCAATTCATGACCCCTTCAAATCAATTTTACAGTCATTTTAGGGTTTATAGTTGCTGCTGAAAAAAACGGCTAAAACCAGCCTAAGCTGGTTGGCTGGTTTTAGCTGGTTTAAGCTGGAAATAGCTGGCTTTAGCTGGTCTCCCAGCCTGGCCAGGCTGGTCAAGCTGGTTTTAGCTGGTTTCTGGCCAGCTAAGACAAGCCTGACCAGCAAAGGAAGTGGCCAAAACCCCTCTAAAACCAGCCTGCTGACCAGCTTTGACCAATCTAAGACCAGGCTGGATGACCAGCTAAAACCAGCCAGCCAGCTTAGGCTGGTTTTAGCTGATTTTTTCAGCAGGGTTGCAAGTTGTAAAATAAAATGGAACTTTACACAGGAAGGTTAGTAATGTGAAATCATCTTAAATCATTACTGATGTTAACATATAGTTTATGTCCATAGTTCTGGAAACTGATGAAGCCGGTGAGGAGGAGGATGATGGGTCAGACCGCTCAGGGATGAAAAGAAACCGCAACGGTATCATCACGTTAACTGAAGAGCAGACAGCAGAGCTGGCGAAGAGAGACCCTGGGGATGAGGCATCTCTATCAGAGAAGGTTCTTGCCCAGACAGCTGCTGAACGAGATCGAATCAGTGAAGTTAAAGACAAATGTGTTGAGCTCAACATAGAGCCAAAGTTTGCAAACCGTTGCCAATTCTGCCCAAAGAGCTTCAAGAAGCCCAGTGACCTGGTGAGGTAATCATCTTATATGTTACATGTTATCGTATAAGCTAATATTAATTGTCTGTACGTTTTATTTTTACATTGATGTGTAGAATATTGCAAATTCGATTCGAGAGAGAATCACGATGCTTTCCGAAAATCTCAGAATCGATCCACGAATCACGATGCATTGATTTATTGTCCCAGCCCTAAGTTAGTTCAGAAATCTTCATGGTTATGATGTCACACGTCATAACCATGATGTTACAGAATATGTTACAGAATAAATCGAAGGTTGGTGCATCTGTGGCAGTGACCAGCTGCTAGGATGCAGCTTGGACATGTGCGAAATGATTATACAGGTCAAATCAATGTTCACAAACAACTAACTTTAACCAGTTTAACGTAGAGTTTAACTAATAGCCTCTAAAAGTGTGGGAACAAAATGTTTTATTGGAAGTGAATGGGGATTACTGATGAAACGTTTCTTGGAAATGTGTTCGGCTTGTGTTTTTCATTGGTGAAAGGGAGAATTATGTTGTGTTTTGTGCACAAGTTGCTTTGGAGAAAAGATCTGCTAAATAGGGGTGGGACAAAATATCGATAGGGCGATATATCGTTGTCCTTCTCCGTGCGATACGAGAATCGATATGCTGGCTCCAAATATCGATATTTTAATTAATAAAAATAAGGCGCTCTAAATAGTTTTCCTTGCTCCCAGCGTCGCTACTTCATGACTCCTCGAGGTGGCGCTCAACACATGAATGAGGGAAACGTGAACCTAAGTTAACTAGCCTAAAAGAAAAAGAGGTTTTTAACGGGATGGTGGACAGCAAAGTCTGGACCCACTTCGGCTTTTGTACCATCGATGGAACAAACAAAATCGATAGAGAGTACGCGATTTGCAAGAACTGCATTATTTGCATGTGCTTTGCCGGTTAACCATTTAATTCGCGTGCTGTTCTGCCATGAGCTTTTTCTGAGCGCGTACACCTAAAGCGCGCACACTAAAAAGCCTGTCGAACAGCGCCTGATTACTGGACTGAGTTATCTTTCGCGTCTGATTGTCAAAAACACACAAGGTTTACATATAAACAGTTGGCTATGTCTAAAGTGAAAGTAAACCGTTGAGAGAAAAACGTGCCTGTATGTTAGATGCGTGCAGCTCTTAAAGCGACAGCAGACTAATTTTTCTAAACATGCTGCTGCTTGTCATTAAAGGAATAGTTCACCCAAAAATTTTTTAATTCTGTCATTATTTATCCACTCTCATGTTGTCCCAAACATTAAATTCTATTTTGTACAGAACACAAAAGATATTTTAAAAAATGTGGGAAACCAAACAGTTGCTGGTCCCCATTAACTTTGATAGGGAAAAAATACTAGGGAAGTCACTGGGGACCAGCAAATGTTTAGTTACCCACATTCTTCAAAATAACGGTTATGTTCAACAGATGAAAGAAACTCATTCAGGTTTAAAATAACTTGAGAGTGAGTAAATGAGAGAATTTAATTTTTTTCAGAATTTTCAGCAGTTTGGACTTGAATAAAGAGAGAAAACCTGCACTTAACCTTTTTTACAGACAGTTTGTTTTCATAGTTAAATATTGTGATGTATAATTATAGGATTGTCTTGCAATATATTGATTATCACAGAATTGCTGTATTGTGATATTATCGGTATCGTGAGCCAAGTATCGTGTATCGTGTGGTACCCTCTGATTCCCACCCCTATTGCTAAATGAATAAATGTGTGACCAATAAAGGCCAATGAAAGTAACAGCAAAAAACGTCAGCCAATGCATTCACAGTAACCATATCAGATATGGTATCTACAATGTGTGTAAATAAACAGTTAGTAGTTATAATTTATCTATGAATAATTGGACCTAATGTTTTTTTTTATAAATCAGACATGAGTTTGTTTATATGTTTTTGCTTTGAATCAGTGGGCAAAGATTTCTAAAATGAGATAAGTGGCTACAAATTTGTGGTACGTGAGGATTGCAAATCGAACATACAGACTGCAAAATTTCGGGTGCAGTTTAATGAATCTGTTAGTACGGATTGCTAAATTGAGGGTACAGTTTATAAAACTCTGATTTGCCAAAATGAAGTAACGGTTTACAAATCTATCAGTATGGTTTATAAACACAGTACAGAACAGAATAGTGCTAGAATTTTTACCTGCATCTAAAGAGCAAGGATTGCTCATTCAAGCGGAAGAGTGACAATTCTGGACAATGAAATGAGATGTTTAAGAGAAATGAAGGCGATATATGAGACTGGAGCAGCCATTTATGAATCAGCCATTTATGAATAGGGTCATCTTTTGTCATAATTCCCAATCATAATTCACATCATCAGGGAATCGACTCATGGGAAAGAATTTAGCATTGCTAGCCTAAATGTCTATCTTGAGGGTAAGCTGTCTTTCATTTTTCAGACACATCCGGATTCATACAGGCGAGAAACCGTACAAGTGCGATGAGTGTGAAAAGTGTTTCACAGTGAAATCCACATTGGACTGTCATATTAAGACACACTCAGGTGAGTTGTATATAGGAATATAGTTATGTGTAAATCATGTGTTTGTGTTTATATTTTATAGTGGAGTCAGCTATCACTATTACTCCTATTTGGTGTTGGGTGTTTTGTACAAATCACTAACCCTAAGTTTTAAACTTCAGCATTTAACTTGTATAATACATAGACATAAATAATACACAAAAAAAAAATGGTGCATGATTTATATTGAAACAGTTTTCACTTTCAGGTAAATGCCACAAATAATTACAAAGTAACACATTGAATTAAACATGAAATATTAAAATTTTGAAGCTGAAAAACTGAAATAATATTTTCTGGTAAAAAAATGTCTTTACTTTATTAACTAAAAAGTCATTTATTACATATATGATTACTTTCCTTAGTGTATTTTCACCTGGTGGATGATTGAAAAAACCGAAAAAAAAAAAAAAAAAATCCCTAGACTTAAAATAAAGGAGGATAGAGATCTCATAGTCCTCCTTTTGTATTAAAATTATGGGTATGTTTTTTTTTTTGCCCACTTTGAATACCATGCATTTTGCCAAAAGTCAACACTATGGAAAAAAAAAACCTAAAGATTCATGTAAAAACAAAAAACCTCTATTGTAGCTTGTCAGAGACTAAAAAATATGATAATTATAAGAAATTCCTCTTACCGTGTTTGAGGTAAATTTTATTGTAATTTTACTTATATTTTTATTAGTAATTATTGTAATTTTATTATAAAATTATTGGCACAGATGCAAAAAAAAAATTATATGAATACTTGAAATGACTTTGCAAACTGAGGTGCAAATAACGTCAAGTAAGGTATAATTAAAGACGGGCCATTGAATTATTAGAAAATAATGCACACCCGAGGTGGTGATGTGCCTCGGGTGTGCATTACTTTCTAATAATTTACAAACTCAAAAACATGAAGAAACATCAAATTCTCCTTGGATGATTCAGAAGATGGGTCTTCAAATTCGACTTAAATTTGAGTCTTAAATTTCATAAGTTCTCATGTATTTCATATTTTGACAAGCTACAATAAAAGTTTTTTTGGTCTGTTTTGTTTTTATCTGACTCTTTGATGTTTAAAGCCACCAACATCCTTGTTGTATTTAAGGCTCTTAAAAGTTTCGTGTGCATGTTTCTGTGCAGGGCAGAAGCTGTTCAGCTGTCACATGTGCAACACATCCTTCTCCACGAAGGGCAGTCTCAAGGTCCACATGCGTTTACACACTGGCTCCAAACCCTTCAAGTGCCCTCACTGTGATCTCCGCTTCCGGACATCTGGTCACCGCAAGACCCACATCCAGGGTCACATCCGGCCCTCGGACCGGAAGGCCAAGCGGAGCTCCAGCACTGAGCCACAAAGCTCAGGAAGACAAGAAGTCCAAAGTGTTCCTCAGACTCATCATCCCTCCCGAGCTGTGGACACTCAGCCTTCTATGGGATTATTACAGACTGCCACGACAGATCCTAACATCTACATCCCAGGAAACGCAGTGCTCGCAGGCCAATATGACCCCAGTCTGCTGCAGCAAGGGCTGGTAGGGCAAGCTATACTGCCTGCTACTGTGTCAGGTAATGACAAACTTTACAAACATCGTAAGTTCGTTCACACTGCAAGCCAAAGTCAAGTCAAATGTATTTATTATTATTTTTTCATAAGGTTGTTCACACGACCTTGTAAATGTTGCTCATATTGGACACAGCTCCAAATTCAGAACTGGGCTCAAACAATACATCCAGAGACATAAGCACTGCATCACAATTGCTTTAACAGTGTATCGCATTTAGAAGATTTTTTATTACCATGCAGTTGGAAAATCATATTGTGGTGCATGTGTCTCTGTTATTTGCTACAACTAGTCATGGAGTACTTAACAAAGTGGTTAATTCAGTTAATTTAGCTATATTAAATAAAGGAGACATCCAAAATGTGCAGTGCTTGGGAGGCGCCAGGAATGGTTTGAAATCCTTCTTTTAGTCCAATTATAGGACTTGAGTCTTAATATCATGTCAGTAAACATCATTTTAAACATTTTTTTTTTTAAAGTATTGTTCATTTCTTTTAGGGTTGATACTGCTTTTAGAGATGAAAATGCTAAGTGCACCCTTAAGAATCTCAAAATAGGTGTAACAATGAGACTAGGTGTTATTCTAAAATCTCAAGCCTTAATGGTATAGTTCACCCAAAACTGAAAATTGTAGCATCATTCATCTTAAGGACACAAATGAAGATATTTTTAGTATAATCTCATCATTTTTGTCCATCCATTTAAAGACTTTGATTGGATCGATGAAAATGATGAGAGAATTGAAAAAAATATCTGTCCCAAAGATGAACTAATGTCTTGTAGGTTTGGATGAACTAAGTTTTTTTTTCTTTTCTTTTTTTCTCCCCATCCTGGCCCAGCGGGTGGGGATCTGACTGTGTCTTTGACCGAGGGTCTCGCTACACTTGAAGGCATTCACTTGCAGCTCACACCTGCAAACCTGGTGTGTCCAAATGTGCAGATCTCTGGGATTGACCCCAGCAACATCAACAACATCACTTTGCAGGTAACACTCAACTAAAGAGACTCAGATTAGTTACTGAGCAAGCCTGATGATGCAGTAATGTTTGTTTGTCTCTGTTTAGATCGACCCTAGTATTCTGCAGCACGGCAGTTTGCTGTCTCACTCTCTGACGACTGACTCAGGTCTGACGCCGCACGCAACAGCTCACCTCATGACTGCTGGAGATGCTTCGGTTCCTGCTAATGTAGTCATTCACCCTCTGAGTGGCCTCTCGCTGCAACCTCAAGCCGCCCCAGCCAGCGTCACAATCAGCAGCCTGACAAACGAGCAGGATAATGCCAGTGTGTCTCTTTGTCCATTTTTTTTTTTTTTTACTTTTCCATTGTCCCTTCTCCTCTTTTACATTAGGTTTCTCTCTCAACCATGTCCAGGTCATATTTCACATACAAAAAAAAAAATTATTAACATGCTGCTTATTTATCCTTAAGGAAATTATGCCTATTTTAGTGTTATAAATCCACTTTCCAAAAATTATATTATTATAGTAGGATTTTTTTTTTTTTTTTTTTAATGTTCCTTTTAG